TATTGCCCCGCTACGGTGCTTACGGTTATTTGGCAAAAGGTCTCCCAAGATACAACGGCTAACTCGGCATATGAGCACTCAAAATCCCGAGTACAACGAACGTTACTTTGTGTCTCAAACTCTCGAATCGAATACGGAAGAAAATATTCTACGAAGAATATTTTCGGGCTAAAGAATGAATAATTCCATAGAACAAAATTATGGAATTGAATTGAGTTTTTATGTTGTTATTTAATCAAACATGTGGAGTTTCTATTTATAAGTTTCCAATGGTTGTGATTAATGAACACAACCCTTAGGAAATTAAACAAGTGAAGAGGTGTGGCCACACCTCTTCATATTGTCACACCTATTTGATCAAATAGGTGCCTAAAATATTTTTTAATTTTCATTCAAAAAATAATTTTATTTTATTAAATAAAATTCCCAACAAGACCAGCCAAGAAAGCTGGCTCTGATACCAAATTTGTTGGGGTTTTTAATATGCGGAAGTGTGGTGTTAAGAAAGAACACCAAGAAATGGAATTACTTAAGAACAAGAAAGGTTTTTAGTGGTGGAAATTTTTAGTTTTTAGTTGTTATTATTGCTTTTTGCTTGTTTACAAATCTAATCTTGGGTACAATTTATAGGGTAGGAATGGATACAAAGAGACACTCAATTCCAAGTCCCAAGTTCTTAGGAAATGTAAAAGACATAACAAATTACATGAAACCTTCTTGACTTCTACAAGTCAAGTCTTCATCTTTGAATGGTGTTCCAACTTCTTTATTGAAAATATGAATTACTATTTTCAACAAGAATTTTGTTGCATTATCTTTTAGGGTTCTTTGAAATTTATTAGTGAACACAATTGTTCTAATGTGTACACATCAACCCAAAAGATTGAGAAATAATACGATTCATGTATTTTCTAGTGATTGAAAAGAATCAACAATAACTAATGTTGATTTGTATTGTATTTTAGGTATTTATTTTAATATTTAATTTAATGTCTAAAAATTTAATCTACATTTATTTATTTATTATTTTTATCTGAAGCTTAGCCCCCTATCTAAATGTTTTACAGTCCGCCCCTGGTTGCCAGCTGTTTTCTGCACTTTTGTGCCTTCCATCTTTTGCTTCTTTCACGATGAGGAAAACAAGGGCGAGTATGAGTAGAACTGTAGGAGTGGTAGTATTCCGGCGGCAATTGATGGGAGTTATTTGGTGAAATATTATTTTTATCCTCACTGCATTTTCATGTAATTTCTAACTTCTCTTTTTCAACTCTCTTTCTAAAGTGCTCTTTATGTGATGTGCAATCAGGGCCGGTCCGGCGTATTTGGCGGTCGGGAGGGAATATAAACAGGGGCGGAATCATGATCAAAATGTAGGGGGCTAACTAAAATTTTAAGTGCACAAAATATTGCAAAAAATAAGTTTATATAACTAATTTTTAATTAAAATATCATATATATATATATATATATATATATATATATATATATATATATATATATATATATATATATATATATATATATATATATATATATATATATATATATATCATATTTTAATCATCACAAAAAATTCTAAATTAATTCAAATTATTCTAATGATATACTGCACTTACTATTTCGGGGATTCATGGCACGATCTCATCTTTTTTGTAAGGCGTTAGATAAAAAAAATCAAAAATAACTAATATTCATAAATTTTATTTAAAATAATACAAGTTTTAACCATCTTATTTTATATTTTATATTAAATATGAGATATTTATCTATAATTTATATAAGATTTTGGAGAAAAAACAAAAAAATTAATGGGTCAAGATAAATATTTACAAAAAATTTGGGGGGGCCAAAAGTAATATTCAAAAAATTTAGTACCAAATATCTAAAAAAAAAAATTTCTTTTTTCTTGGGGGGTCAACGGCCCCCCCATGCCCCATCAAAGTTCCGCCAGTGAATATAAATGTGCCCCTATTAATATGGGATTTCGGAGCAACGACTCATTTTTTTTTTTTTTTTTGTCTAGTGACATAATATAAATATATATTTATTAATATATATTTCATTATCAATAAAAGATTGGAAATATTAATGTATATCTCAACATTAGCTTTGCAAAACAAATGTTAGAGAAATATATAATAATTTGAATAAAATAAAGATTTTAGATTTTATCGTTTTGAAACTAAGTTATAAAATTATAAATAGAAATTTTCTTTTTTTAAACAATAGAAGAGTATTTCTTTAAAAGAATAGAAAAACAATTTTTTTACACATAAAATTATAAAGATATATATATAAATAAAATAAAAAAACTGGACCCCTTAAGAAATTAGGCCCTGCGCGTGAGCCCAGCTCGTCCCACCCAGGGCCAAACCTGTGTGCAATGCATTTATTCATATAGTAATAATCCTTAGCATAAGATCTTAGAGTCTATCTATTGATATAGACTGTAGTATTCAGTACTCATCGGAAGCTGTATGTGTAAGCTCTTTGTATGTTGTATATATAAATGTATATGTTGCTTAGTCGTCGGTATTAGCTTTCTGTGTAAGCTATCTATCTGATGGTGAATGCATTTATTTATGTAGTGATATTTATTCGTTCTAAGCTCTCTGTGTAAGCTCTTTATGTGCAGTAAAAGTAGGCATTAGTTGTTGATATGCATGTTATTATATTGATTGTTAAGTTGTCTCTGTAAGCTCTGTGTGTTGTTGAACGTACATGTTTATTATGTGATGTTTATTACTGTAAACTCTTTCGATTTAAGCTCTCTGTTAAGCTATCTATATATTGTTTAAGTGCATTTATTCATGTATTATTAAGTAATTCTCGGTCTCCACCGTCTAACTTTTATTTGGGTAAAGAGCGATATGTTGGTCTCAAAAGTCTATTATCTTTCTTGTTATTTGCTTAAACATTTTATGAATTATACAGATTTCCAAGTAAATTCTATATGAAAGCTTTCGTTATTTGTTAAATCTCTTTATCTATGCTCTTAAGCTATTTATTTGGCCTCTTGGTTGCTAGGCTCTATAACTAAGTTTTCATTTGCTAAGCTCTCTAATTAAGTAATTATTTTATAAGCTCTCTTACTAATCTCTCGCCTGCTAATCTCTCTAATGAGCTCTTGTTTGATAACTATCTAACTAAGCTCTCTTTTCACTTGCTAAGCTCTCTTTTAATTTGAAAAGCTCTGTAATTGCGCTCTCTAATTAAGTTATCATTTGTCAAGTCTCGTTATCTAATTATGCTTTAACACTACTTAGAACGCATATTTATTTAATAAGCTCTCTAATTAATTAAGTTCTCATTTGCTAAGCTCTTCTTTAACACTACTTGAGTGCATATTTGTTTAATAAGCTCTCTAATTAATTTCTTATTTGCTCATCACTATGAACGTAATTAAGCTATGCAAATCATTGGAGTCAATAGTGAATTTACTACAAGACGTAAAAAAATATGTAAACGCAAGAGATTTGTATAAATTACTCTCTTTAAAATATACAGACCTCTCTCCAAAACTAATTCAGAGATCATAACAGCTAACAAATTCTCGATGCTCATTCAACTCTAAGGATAAGATTATTGTAACCATATCTATTAAGTTAGTTAATTTTCAGCATCTTCTTCACATCAACGACCATGACATTTCAATCAATCTCCGAGAAATGAGAAATAAGTTCCTCAGCAAACGGCCATCCGCAGAGCTAGCCACGTACACACAATGCACCTTCCCCAATTGTTGTAACCCCAATTCCGGCGTACGTGGACATCATGTTATCCTCTATCAACCATTATTCCAGCAAAATCTTTACCGATTAAGCCGGGGCCGAGTAGGATTCCGTGGGGGTTGATGGTGGGAAGAGCGCCGTGGGAGTTGGGAATGGCTAGGCTGCCTTTGCCGGTAGGAAGCCAGGGCCGACAAATAAAAGGCGTAAAAGATTGGACATAACTGTGAGGACACAATTGTATTTCGTAAATGAAATACATCATAAAAAATAGAAAAAAAGATGGCCCAAGACTATTAGCAAATAGGCAAATTTTGCATGTACGTTAACCTAGAGGAAATAATTTTGTGGAGGGACTAATTTTTCCTTCTTTTATATATCTTACGTTGCATTGTTGGTGAATTATTAACTCTTTCTATTGTTGTATGTTTTATTTGTACATTGCATAGTGAGAGCGGTAATAGATATAAGACCAATTGTTGTAAAGATAAAATAAGTAAAATGACTCATTTGAATTTGTGGTATTAGTTGTTTATATATTGCAATTGTAAGAAATCAGCATCAAGCACCAGTGGTCTAGTGGTAGAATAGTACCCTGCCACGGTACAGACCCGGGTTCGATTCCCGGCTGGTGCATTGGCTGTGATGACAATCGCGCTATCGCAACGGTTGGGTCTGTTGCTCTCGTCTGATCATCAGATGAAAATTCCAGCGCTGCTGAGCCTCTCGTAATTTTCTTTACATTTTTTTTTTCTCTTTCCATCATTTCTAAAGAAAAACTTTTCAACTACTAGTTTATCATCACTACAGTATATACTAGTACTACCTCCCTCTATAATCTGTATGTGGTTTTATATTATTTTTTTCTCTTTCCATCATTTTTTAAGACACACGGGCAGTGGCGAGGCTAGAAAGTTTGGTGAGGGGGGGCTTAAACACACGGGGGGTTCGGGGGCAGCGCCCCCGAAAAAAAATTTGCTATAAAAGAAATTTGAGATGAAAATTTGATACGCATTTTTTTCCTTCACTTTCAAATGATAATCCAAAACCAATCGTGAAAGCTAAATTGCTATAAAAAATTAAGAAACATGAATATCAAGTCGATTATCAAATTGACACAATCGACTTCTAATTGATACCCAATCTGAAAATTAAGATGAGAGAGAAGTTGTCAAATGCTAAACGATTGTCGGTGGGTGGCAATTTAACTGCTATTAGTGAGACTGTGGGAGAGAACAAAGTTTTTTTTTTCTTTTTCAAGAAACGTAAGGCATGGGGGCTTTGAGTAAGTGGACTAGAAATAAGTGGGCTTAAATAATATAATTGAATAGATTACAAAAAAAGATATAATTGAATAGGCTAAAAATATAAATAAAATATACATGGGGGGCTTTGAGTAAATATACTAAAAATAAGTGGACTTAAATAATATACTTGAATAGACTAAAAAACTTAATAGAATATTTCTCAACCGCCCATTTTTTATATCTATATATATATATATATATATATATATATATATA